CTTCCATCACTTCCTGGCCCACCTTCCAGTTTGCTTCCCTATATAAACATGTGCTCAGTCCAGCCTGTGTTGCCTGAGCACCTTCACTGGGATAACACTGGATAGAGAGGAGTTAGGTAAGTGTTTAAGGATGGAGGGGGGCAGTTAATGGGTTGCCTATTTACCCTAACACAGAGAATGCATTAAGGTAAAAAACAATTCGATTTTAGAACCCCGTTAAAGTTGAATGTGCAGTTAAGGAAAAGGAAGAAAATGGCTTCCTATACCATACCAGGCAACAAGCCTATCAGCATTGGGAGGGTACCTTGGAATTAGGGGGTGCAAGGGGCGGGGTGGCTGTTTCTCCCCTCACAAGGCACTTTGTCTCTATGCTGAGGAGCCAAGGTCTTCATCCCCACATCCTGTCCCCAAAGGGGAAGTGAGGGGTTTATTAGAACCTGGAAGTCCCTCTTATAATACTTGGGGAGGTAATAGCATTTCCCCTGGGGATTGAGAACAGGGTACATTAGTGCCCCTTATCACTTATTCCCAGACAAGGTTAAATGTATCCACTTTCCCTTTGGAGCATTTTTTTGCATTTTTCCACATGTTAAAATCTACATTTTTTTTTTGCAAAAAATGAGTTAAAACCCACAAGACATTATCCACTTGCCCTCTGGAAGATTTACCGCCCCTTCATGATCAATCCATTTTTTGTGATACGGCACTGTGTTATTTTAATTAACAACTGCGTGGTCATGAAACACTGTACATAAATGACATTTATGTAATATTTTTTACCCCCCGCAAATATTTGATCACCTCTGCGTTTTCTAGTTTTTTATTTTTTGCGCTATAGACATAAAAATACCTACAATTTTGAGGAAAAAAAACTATATTTTTAACTTTTTGCTATAAAATATAGCCAATAAAAAAATTTTAAAAATAAAATTTCTTCATAATTTTAGGCCAAAATGTATTCTGCTACCCGTCTTTGGCAAAAAAATCCCAATAAGTGTATATTAATTGGTTTACATGAAATTTATAGCATTTACAAATGGTGGTTTATATACCGTAATTTTCTTTTCTTTTTTTTTTTTTTTTTAAATCAATAATGGCAGCGATCAACAATAGCGGGACTGCGGCAGACATTCTGACACTAACTGACACTGGGTGGGAACTGGCTAACTGCCACTGCCATCTCCAATGACACTAATAAAATGATCAGTGCTAATAAAAAAGCACTGACACACTGCACTAATGACACTGAACAGGAAGGGGTTAACATCTGGGGTGATTAAAGGGTTAACAGTGTGCTGTTTTTACTAGGGAACATGCTGCTTTCTATTTCTCTACTTTGCAGAAAGATAGAAAGCAGCACATCCTTGCTGACAGGAGAGACCTGTGTTATTTACACACAGATCTTTCCCCTGTCAGTTTGTCCACCGATCACTGAGTCCCCGCCATGAATCACTGGCCAAAACCTGGTGTTCGACATCTCCAGGAGCTAATGACAGCGCGGGTAGGGCAGCGCACTTACACAGGAATGCAAAGTCATGTATTTATATGTGATTTTGCACAGCACGGCCACCCCGTAGCAGTATATCTGCTATAAGGTAATCCTTAAATGAGTACATATTTTCTGAACACTGAAGCCCTGTAGAATAAAACAATGGTAGCTGCAATTTTTATGTTGCACGATATTTGCCCAACTGTTTATTAAATCTATCTTTTCAGAATAAAATATACTAAAACAAAATACAATTTGAATCAAAATCTCTGTGAATCCCCAAAGAAAAGTAAATCTTTCACCCTTGAAAGTGCAAATGAAAGTTTTTGGGGAAGGTTTATAGAAAAGGTTTATGATAAAATACAATTTGATCCTACATTTTTTCATACACAATAAAAGTTGAGGTAGTGCAGCCGTGAGATTGTTTTAACCTCTTAAAGTTCTGAACATACTAAGCACACCCAAGGGGTTAAGGAGGTTGAATAAACACAAAAACCCCTTGACAAAATCCATTAGTTAAAAAAAACACACACACACCAAAAAATATAATAATGCCCCTCTATGTAATAAAGGGCCGATCACATCATCAAGCTTTGGAATCTAAATTAATTATGATGACTCCCAACCGAAGATCTGGTCTTAACTTGCCACAATCCCGCCTCTAAATGATAGATCCCTGCCATTGCGGGAATGTAAACACAGCGTGGGGAATTCTGGGTGATATGATGTCATTGGTCATATTTGTTCCTATATACTTCAGTGGGGTACGGTGCTAATCTTGGATTCAGAAAACCTCAAAACAGATGCACCAGATATATTTGCTAATACCTAGTTAATGGGCACAGTCACAAAAGGCATGTTCAAGATAAAGCCATTTAATAAACCGTCCACCAAACATGGTGCCAATGTGAGAGAAGTCATGAAGGTGCATATGTCAAAACTTTAGTCCCTTTGAAAACAATTTTTGAAAAGGCATGAGCAAGATACACCTCTGTTTACAAATATCTTGAGCACCATTTTTAAGCAATCAGAGATATTCCAAAAACATCGCCAGTACTGGTAAGACATGTACAAACATTTGGTGCATACTATCGCCACGCAGGCTAAAATAAGTAGGCTTCCACATTCACGACTAGCTTGTGTCTCACTACTAGTGGATTCTCACTGCAGCAGTTCTTTTTTAAACATATTGAGTAAACTCCAATATATACACTGGGGTTTATTTACTAAAGCTGGAGAGTGCAAAATCAGGCTCACATCTGCATAGGAACCAATCAGCTTCCAGGTTTTATTGCCAAAGCTTAATTGAACAATCTGAGATTAGAAAGTGATTGTTGTCTATGCAGAAGTAAGCCTGATTTTGCACTCTCCAGCTTTAGTAAATAAACCCCACTGTGTTGCACTAATTGAACAAAATTATTCAAATAAGAAACATGAAATAATCAAGCATAAAGTCCCATCAGCTAATGGAAAGGATCCACACGGTGAGCAGTTCAAACAGAAAAATTTGTGTCAGTAAAGTCCAAATGTGTATTCCTTTGCCAAAAAGAGGATGTCCACCAAATTCCAGCTGGCAAACACTAACTTATGGGTCCTTCTGATTGAGCAAAGATGTCAACACATAGCTCTGCCCTACGAGGTTCATCATAAGTGTCATCACTTATTACAAAATGTGCAGGGAGGAGCTTCATGCTGTACATGACTATCTAAAACATAAGAGTCATGTTTTTTCCAGTAATGAGAGCCATGTTTTTCCGGTAAGCCTTGAGTTGTGGCTTCTGACACACATTTCTATTTGAATTGCTCACAGTGAGGATCCTTTCCATTGATGGGACTTTTGCACATTTTTACTTAACCATTTCCCATTTCTTATTATTTTAATTGTTTTGTTGAATAAGCGCAGCACTGTGTATATAATAGGTTTGGTCAGTAAGGCAAGTACCTCATAGTGTACTTGCAGCCTATATACCTTGCTTTCACAGTTCCTTGTTTCACGTATTTTTTTGTTCATGTTGATTACAATTCCCTCTTATGATAAATCAGGGCCAGTGTATTCCTCAAACTACACTTAATAAATGTTTTATCTACATTACAAAAGGATCATTTTATCCATGCATATTCAGATCTGCCCCAGAATCCACAAGAATCTCACATAAACTGTTGGGCAGTTGGTGTATACTTAGATTTTCTGTCCAATATAGCAACAATACCATGCCAAAAAAAAGAGGGTGGGCTATCAGAAAAAGTTGAATCATGCAGAGCAATGATGTGTTCGTTTAAAATATATTAGAGAATGTAGGGGGTATTGGGTTAACCTTTCTGATGCAATCACTGTTTCTGTTTTTGTTCCTTTTTTCTAGGTACTATTCTAAATTCCAGTTTTGATGTTATACATTTTTTAACACTATTTCAGTGACATAAATGTTTTTCCTATATCACAAGTAATTGCAAGTTTTTGCTGCTATACTAAGCTTATGCTTTTGTTTTATTATTTTTTAATATTGCCAAGGCTTTAAAATAAAGACCTCATGCCCAGTGCTGTCCTCTACATATTCTGAGCTAGACAACTAGTCATCTTCTACATTATATGATGCCCAGTGAAGTAGGGGAGAAGACTGAGGCTTGGAGGTGGTATGAAGAATAAATTGAGCTTTAACACTTCATTTGTCTCTCTGATCTCTTACTCTTTCATGTAGGATTTCCTTTTTTCCCACATCTTTTTTTTTTTGTACCTGATTCTCAGTTCTAACATGTGTTTCTTAAATGTCAGCAAACCAATGGACGAAAGTGCAAGATTTCCTTAGTATTGAGTTGATTAGTGTAGATATGCAAACATGTTGATGTATCATCCCGAAAATGATACTAACCTGGCACACCAGGTATGCATTCGCATGGATAGAAGGCCACTAGAATGTAACATCCCTCTTCATGCTGGCTCACATACCCTACGGCAGTTGTTTAGTATTTAACCACTTGCCTACCGGGCACTTATACCCTCTTCCTGCCCAGGCCAATTTTCAGCTTTCAATGCTGTAACACTTTGAATGACAATTGCGCGGTCATGCAACACTGTACCCATATGAAATTTGTATCATTTTTTTTTTAGACAGATAGAGCTTTCTTTTGGTGTTATTTAATCACCTCTGGGTTTTTATTTTTTGCTAAACAAACCAAAAACCACAGAAAATTTAGAAAAAAAAAATTTTTTTCTTAGTTTTTGTTATAAAATTTTGTAAATAAGTGATTTTTTTTCCTTCACTGATGTGCGCTAATGAGGCTTCAGTGATGGACACTGATAGGCTGAACTGATGGACACTGATAGGTGGCACTGATGAGGAGGCACGGGTAGGTGGCACTGATGGGCATTGACAGGCATCACTGATGGGCATTGAAAGGCAGCACTCATATATGGCACTGATAGGCAGCAATGGCAGGTGGCACTGATAGGCAGCACTGACTGGCACTGTTAGGTGGAACTAACTGGCACTGTTAGGTGGCACTGACTGGCACTGATAGGCAGCAGTGACGGGCACTGATAGGTGTCACTGATGCGCACTGAAAGGCGGCACTGATAGGCGACACTGACTGGCACTGATTGGCAGCACTGATAGGTAGCACTGACTGGCATTGATAGGTGGCACTGACTGGCACTGCTAGGTAACACTGAAAGGCAGCTCAGATGGGCACTGACATGTGGCATTGATGTGAACTGGTAGGCACTGATATGTGGCATTGATGTGGCACTGATGGGCAATGGCAGGTGGCAATGATGAGCACTGACAGCTGGCACTGATGGACACTAACAGGTGGCACTACTGGGGCTACACAGATCATCAGGCACACTGATCATCAGTGCCCTGATGATCAGTGCACATGTCCCCTCTGAGTAAAGCCAATTACCAGCTCTCCTCTCCTCTTGAGTTGTCAGCGTGACAGCTCGTGAGGAGAGAAATGCCGACAACCGGCATTTCCCTATTTACATGTGATCAGCTGTGATTGGACACAACTGACCACATGACTGAGCCGACATCTTTGGCTCTTTCCATTGATCGGTGATCCGCTGTGTCCGAGGGACACAGTGCACCACCGATCGCCACGCTGCGCACTCCAGGAGCCACGCATTTGCGGTTAGAATGGGTGGACGTCATATGACGTCCTCCCAGAACAAGAGAACTGCCTTGCGTCTGTCATTACCTTATATGGCGGGCGGGGGGAGGCGGTTAAACATGGAAGAAAAGAAAATATGTTCTCGCCTCAAAACACATAACAACACAGGCAGGTGCAAGACATTGACATACCGTATTTACTTAATATGAAACATCTGATGAGTATATGAGTTGTTCCTCGCATGGGACCTGCCCCATGCATTTAATTTCTCTATTCATGAAACCTTGTGTTATGGAGAGGGGGTTAATTAGGAAAACTACAACAAACACCCTGCAGTTCAAAATTGGAACACTGAGGATCAGATCTCAGGTTTGATACGTAGAATCATTGCTGGTGCTGATTTTAAATATTTTTGAAATGTCGAATTAGAAAATGCATATAATTTGTAAAACTCCTTTATTTATATGTAGTGCACCCCCTAAGGAGCCACTAGTGAAACTGATGCTTTCCCCCCAGATTAGGGCACACACAGCCAAGCACACTGCATTTTTTCCACTTTCACAGGCTCAAATGGAACAGTTTAGGGGTGTCTTTTAAGGGATTTATTGGAATGATAAACTTGATGAGGTGAGGGGTGCATGGGATACCCATAGAAAAAACTGGTAAACCAAACACTTTAAGGAATTCTTCTCTATCTTGCTGAGCTATAAAATGCCCAATAGAATCTCTGATGCTGACAGGTGAATAGGACTTTTCCAAAAGACCAAAAGTTGCACACATTCACTAACTTTCAACACTGGTGCCACTTACTCACATGAGCACAGGATCATTGGTTGCCTCCTTCTGATATCCATCGGGCACTCCTCAGTGAGGGCGATACAGACTCTCGCCAGCATTGCACAGCTGGACACCTTTTCCCTAACTTCTTCCTGGTACAGTCCAATGAACTTCTTCAGACCCAAACAACTCCAAGACTAGGCTTTGCAAATAGGCCCTAAAACTAAGGCTTCACCTGAGACCTCAATGTATTCTAGATGGCACCTCCAATAATCCTGCCCCAGGGTCTCCTCCAGCAGCACTGGACTCAGAAACTCTCCCTGTGCTCCAGGCTACAGACTATTTATGGGCTTTCCAGCCACCTAATGGACACACCTCTCCAGAGTTTGGCTGGGTCCCTATATATATTCAAGCTGCTCCCCAATTCTTTATCCCACTGTAATTCTAGAATCATCTAGTATGCAAGGGGAGGAAATCAGACCAGCAGCCCGTGAACCACTGAGCAGGCTGGAACAATAAATCACTGCTCCACTGATTGCAGGAGAGAGAAACTATATTCGACTAGCAACCTACACTAATTAGAAGGGCACTACATATAGATGATATTCCCATGTGTTGTTCCAGCCACATATTTTAGTTCTGTAATCTTCAGAACGTGTTGCAGGGAGTAAACGTTTTACTTTATATTTACAACAATTAGTTGTTTTAAATTTATTGTACCTATTAACTCCAACCAACACCTATCTGTTCCATAACATGTACTCCTGGGTTCACCTGAAGCAATTTACCATGTGATTTTTGTGCAACTTCCTTGCCACAATTCCATTTGAGGGACTGAGGCTTCACTAAGTGCAGAGGGAGTATGGTGAGTGAACCTACAAAAACAAAGGGCAGCATTCTGCAGACTCAGATTCTGGGCTATTCAGAAGGTGAAGTTACTGGCAAATACAACAATTTAACAAACACGGTGGTCAGGTGTGTAAAAAGAATACTACAGTTTAAAAAATTAGGATAATCAACTGGCAATCTTATGTATAATTAATAATAATTAATTCCTTGATTGTTAGCTCGAGAGCAGGGCCCTCGAACCCCTTGTGTATTGTTTTGTTACTGTATTGTCTCATGTTCTGGCCCCCACTATAATGTACAGCGCTGAGCAAACCTTTCTGGCGCTATATAAATACTGTATAATAATATTAATATACATGTTTTACTGGTCTTTATACCTAATCATTACATTCTCAAGGGTCTGTTATTGTGTTAAAATTCAAGATGTTATCTGTATTTTTCAGAACATGAAAGAATATTAGAGTATATGAAGGCCATTCTATTTCAATGGTAAGAATGATTACAGAACCCTTCCAGTTGTTGTTTCAATGTATTGCTCATAGAACAGAAAAAAAGTAACCCATAATTAAACCCAGGGTGTGAAACCCCAGGGGGCTGCAAAAGGGGGGCTATATACATATTCAGTTCATACTAACTGTAGCAAAGCACAATCTGTTCTGTATGAATATATTCTTCTGGCAGCTGTATGCAAAAAGCAGTCTTCTGAATTCTGACTTTTTATTTTTTTGACAGTATGTTTTAGCTTCAGGTGGAAGTGTAAGAAACCCAGTTAAGTAGGTTTTCTGATTATTTGAAGCAGTCACTATTCATTATCCTGTGAATAGAATACTAAATGTGAAAAAGAACATGCAGACAAATGAAGGATGAGCCAAATGTCTTAGTAATGTGTCTATACATAGCCATGTATCAAGTAGTGCTTGAACATCTAATGGGCAAAAATTGAAATCAAAATATGCATTTCTGTAATATATAAAGCATAATGTTAGCTAATTATATGTGTCTGCATTTTGCTTTTCAAGTGCTGAGTGCATGCCAGAAAAGTTAAGTGTAGCTGCCACAAATGTATTTTGGTAGTAAGATAGTTACATAGTCTAAGTCAACCAATAGAATAAAACAAACAAACAGGACCTTTATATACACGTTTCTATTCCTACAGTTGATCCAGAGGAAGCCAAACCCCAATAAAACATGATCTATTTTGCTCCAGTGTGGGAAACAATTGCTTCCTAAATCTGCCAGGAGACAATTGGATAATCCCTGGATCAACTACTTCTGGCGTTATGACCTCTAAAAATTAGTATCCAGGTATATTTCGTGCATTTGAGTATGCAAACAGCTACTGAGATGGCCAGAACTAGCTCTTGAAGGAGTCTATTCCCCATTTTTGCAGGTCTTACTGAAAAAGCCTTAAATCTCTTTTCCTCCATGCATGAAAAGTGTCCCCCTTGTCCTGTAATAACCTGAAAGTAAAACATTTACCATCGAGTCACTATATGGACCAGTTATATATTTACACACGATGATCATACAGTATCTCCCTCTATATACATACACAGACACAGAGCCCAGCAATGCAGGATTGCAGGATTACACACAACTGCTTCCAATATAAACTGTATGTATAGAATGAGAGCACTGATCAAGCCTGTGATTTGTGCAGAGGGATGTAAAAGTGCACTTAATGGATCCTGAAACTGTTTTTTTTTTTTTTTTTCTTTTTGTGATGATCATAATAAGCTGAAACACTCTAAATGGTCCCTATTTGCATACTTGCATGGTGGAATTGTACCTATCAAATTGATATCAGGTCCCCAAAGAGACTTGTAAAGATATATGCACAGCAAGAGCAGATTCAACTTAGGGCTCATATACACTGCAGCTGATAAACTGACGTTCAGGAGCTGTTCAGCGTTTTTTGCAGCAACCCTTGAACTCTCCCTAATGTTTTCTATGTGTCCATGTACACATAGTTGTTTACAGTCCTTTACAGGCAATTGAGTTTACAGTTGTTTTTCTGAACGCACCAAACTTGCATTGAGGTGTAGATTTTATCGGCGTTTCAAACGCCAAACGCTTGGAAATGCATGTAAACACTTGTAAATGTTGTTAACCGCATTTATAAGCGTTTGCATTTAGAAGTGTTTTTTAACTGTTCCATTTCCAGATGCTGTCCAGAGCCTTTTTCATCATCAGTAATGCATGCAAAGCGTTTTCCATGTACTCAAATGGATCTAGTATACCAGTGCTGTCAGTTCCAGGTTTTGAGTGAAGGAAAAAATGGTAGAACGTGCTGCATTATGCTCATGATGGGATCCATAGAGAATACAACCAGAAAAGATAGGTAATCTCAACACATACTGATCTCTCTGCTTCTGCTCTCTCTATTTCTCTCAAAATGTCTGAAATAGTTAATATTACTATTAATAGTTAATTATTACTATTTTCTAGTGCATTCTGGGAATTTGGGAAGGTCTCCTGAGGTTATCTTTTAAAAATGCTTCTAAACGTAAAGGCGCATAAATGCGGTATGCAAACGTGGCTAAACTGATGTTTTTTAACCTAGATTTTCCAGCAGTCAGTTTCCATCGTTCAAAAGAGTTTTCCAAATTCCCTGTGTACATGAGCCCTTAAGCGACATCCTTCAGAACATTCAGCTGTCCAAAAGTTGGTAAATGTTTACAACTTTTAAGCTTTCATATACTTTCCAGTACATTGTTTGCTTTTCCATTGCTGAAAACGCAAAGATAAAAATATTGTTTGGCATAACCCCCTAAAAACTAATTTTGTTGGTAAACCTTAACCCTTAATCCTAGAATTAACTCAACCCTTAAAACGAACTTAATCCTCATTGGTCAATGAAAGTATTGGTGACAAATATAACTTACAAGAGCTCTCTTTGAAACAAACTGTTCCACATACATGTAATGTTTTCATTTCATCACTTGTACTTGTTGTCTGTAGTTACCATTTTAATTGAAAACATATTTTATACTGTATAAAAAAAGATTGGGTTATTTGGTATTTATTTTTTTTCCTATATAAATATGTAGAGAATAATCACAAAGCTTGTTTCACACATCTTTAATTGTGATGGGTTTAGTTCAATCAAATGGGTTCTGGGCCCAGTTAAAATAAGTTTTAACTTATTGAAAAAATTTGGACATTAAATTTTACCATCTACTGTATAATGGCATGGGGTATAGGCAGAAGTCTTGAATTTCTTTTGTACGCTGAAATCTGCTTTGCCCACCAAAGACAAGCATTTCCTCAGAAGTTA